CGCAAGGCAGCCTGTTCTACGTCTGCCTGACTCTGCCCGCCCGTGGTTAAGGCTCCACTGCCCGTCTGGAGACGCCAGCACTGAGCCTGGCTGGGCGAGGCCCCTGCAGTGAGATGGGAGGCTGAAAGGCGACTTGAGAACACGAGGGGTGGCCGGCCGGGGGTGGCGAGGCGGCAATGGGAGATGCCCCTGCTTCGGGCGCACATCTAGGAGGGACTCGAGTGGGCTGGAATGCAAAGAACTCCGGGGCTTTCTCCGAGAGAGTGCTTACAGACGTGTGCTGGATCCGGGGCAGACACGGGACGCCAGGAGGACCCTCTGCAACCTTGCAAACATAAGCCGCCCTCACAGCCTTGTTCCAGAGCCAGGATTACAGCCGGGGCAATACAATATTGTCTTAAAAAAGAAAAAAACCTGGTGTGAGCCAGGCACAGGCATTATTTGTAACCAACATGGTTGTACCCCCATAATATTCTGAAGTTAAAAAAAACTGGCTCCAGCCTGTACACATTAACCTGAGATTATCTGCATCCGAAGGCCAGGTATCTTCTTAGGATGTTGAGGACATCCTCCCCCGCCCCCAGACCTCCACTGGGTCTTCCCAGCTCTGCGGGCTGAGTCTGAGTGGTGGCCCGGGGCCGGCCCTGGGCCATAGCGGTCCAGCGCTTCTCTGGGAAAATGCACCAGCCCCTTCTTGTCCTGCAGAGGAGGGGCCTCTGCCGGCCCGTGAGGTGTGGACGCCAGGGTCCCATCCAGGCTGTCCGGCCTGACCACAGCAGAGGGCACCGCCAGCCACCTCAGCCGCGTCACCACCCCAGACGGCATGTTTATTTCAGGCTGGTCTTTGATGGAAACTGGCAGAGGCGTTGCCAATAGGATGAATATAGCAGTTTCTTTGTGCTGAGTTGTGGAAGCTCTGGACAATGTGGTTTGGGGCGGAGGGTTTGGATGCCTTTAGGGAGAAACAAAATCTACAGGAAAAAAAGAAAATCCTTTCCACTTGGGTTGTGTGGTTTTAGTTTTCAAAGCACCTTCACAGCCCTTCTCCATGGCGTGCTGCATTCCCAAGTGTGAGAAGCAACAGGATGGTCGCTCCGTGCCTGGCAGCAGGGAGACTGCGGGGACCCAGCAGACAGGGCTGCCCCAGTGGGGCTTGCTGTCCCCAGGAGAGGGGAAAGCCACCATTTAATTACTTTGTTCCCCGAGGAAGAGCAGTCTGATGGAGAAAAACCTGGCAGGGAAGCAAATGTCAGGAGCTGGGGACCGACTGTCAGGGGTCAGGGAAGGTCCTGGGCAAAGACAGCTGCCCCTTGTGGCCTCTGCACGGGGCATGGTGCTGCTTGTATTCACACGGCCAGATACTGTCAGCAGAGTGTCATCCCCAGGCCACGCTGAGAACAAGCTAATGAGCATGACCACACCTGGGCCAGGGCCTTTGGGCGGCTTGCTGGGGTGCAGCCCTCACAAGCCTATCCCTGCCTGCAGCACCCTCACCCACCTCTGCCATCTTCTGGGGCCCATGGCCAGGGCTTGGGACCAGGAGCTCAACCCTGCCCTCCCCCGAAGGCAGACTTCTTCTGCACAGGAAGGTGACTCTTTAAATCCTGTTGGCCAGGCCACTTTTCAAAGGAGGAAACTGCAGATCAGAGAGCTCAAAGGGCTTCTCGAAGACACAAAGCAATAAAAAAGCAGAGCCATGTTTTGGGTCAGATCTTCAGACTCTAAAGACAATGCTTGTGCTACTGAGTGAGAAAAGCCATGACTGCAGCAGAAGAAATCAAACTGCACCCTAGCAGACGAAGCTCCAGACTCTGAGCCCTTCCTGGGAATCTCATCCTGGGAATCTCTGGCGCCCACGCTAGTGAGAACGGCTGGAAACGCCCGGTTAGTTCACAGCCCGTCTATGGCAGAGGACATACATCATTTACTTGCAAATGGAACAGAGGGACTGGGAGAGAGGGAAAGGGAGAGCATAGAATGAGAAGAGAGAGATCGGGACCGAGGCTGCACCAGGAAGAGAATGTGTGGGACGCAGAGGAGAGGCAGAGGTAGCTGACCTGTGAAGGAGGGGGACGAGAGGTCCCTGCGAGGAAGGACCAGTGGAAGCCAGGAAGGTCTGCAAGTTCTCAGCGATGGCCACCAGATGGCGCCATCGAACACGAGCAGTGCAGTTGCAGCCACAGTGGGACCAGGAAGACGGTGGCAAGAAGCCTCCAGGGCTGGGGGTCGGGGAGGGCAAGGAAACAGTGTGCCACTGCACACCCAGATCTGTTAACGGAGGAAATCCCAAACCCTAGATGAATGACCTCACCAACATCTCTTCCAGCCAGTCATGTGCTGTCAGTGGTCAGGCTGGCACGGACAGGAGTGTGCCTGTTAGCAAAGGGCCCCATCACCACTCGAATGTCTGGCATAAACCACCTGGACGGTAATTTGCATGAATCCCAACCTGTCTCTGACCTCTCTCCCGAGCCAGGGGACCTGGAAAGACACCAGCTCCACGCGGAAGCCCAAGCACCGGAGCCGACACAGAACAGCTCCCTCCGACTAGACTTGGCATGGCTCGCAGCTCACCTGTGCCCTTCCCCTGCTGCTGCCAGCGTCAGAGCGGAGGGAGGGGCCGCTCAGGCAGCAGGGCACAGAGCACAGCAGGAGCCCAGGGTCGCAAGTATAGCCGCTGGGTGTGTCCCGGGGGCTCCCTGGGTGATGACATCCAGAGTAAGTTTTTTTCTCCTGTGCTGGGAAACAACTTTGATGCATGCTGTATTCTAATTCTTCCCGTTGTAACCCAGCTTGAGCAAAACCAGGATTTAAATAGTAGGATAATGAGGTCATTTATGGGATTAAAAGAAGATCTGAAGGGAAGAGAAGAGCCTGGGGGATTTTAGGGGCGTGGGATCCTGTGATTCTAGAATATTCTCCTCCCTGCCTCTCACTCTGTGTCTCTGTTGTTTCCCAAGGCTTCTCCGCTCAGTGGGAGACCTCGTGTAGGCAGATCTAACTTGTGCGTCCCAGCTTCACCACCCAAGGGAAAGACAGTCTCTCCCAGGGACTGTGCTTAGCCCAGAAGGCCACGTACAGGCTTCGAGCCATGTGTGTGGCTTGGGGTGTAGCCCCATTCTCCACCCACCCCGGTTACAGTCATGCATGTCAGAGGTCGAGTGACGCACAAGGACCTGAGTCTTTGGGCTGTGGATTGCGAGCCGACCCACATACTCGCGTGTTCACATGCATTCAAGAGTACGCGGTGCCGGTCGCTTTCTCTCCTGTGAGGAGCGGGCGGTGAAGGTCCGGCTTTTTCTTGTGTTCCCTATGAGCTAACGGTCACCATGCTATAGCGAAGAGGGACCCTGGAGGCACCCAGCCACCTCCTCTTCCCTCTGCTGCCCCAGTCCAGGCTTGGGGCTCTGCCGGGGCCAGGCAGTTCCACCCAGGCGGACGCCCGCTACCGCTTCTTGCTTCCCGAGATGACTCCGTGCCAGCCACAGCCAGGGCCAAAATTCACCACCCGATCTGCCGGCACCGCTCTCTGCCTCTAGGGAGCCCCGCATTTTGTGCAATGGGTTGGCATTTGTTTTAACTTCATTTAAACATAAAGGCAAGTGTCCATTTTGGAAACTACTCATATATTGATAGCTGCTCCCATGGACGCCTTATAGTAAAACCAAATTGAAGGAATTTTCCTAGTTTCCATTTCAGGGATATGTTTTTCCTTGCTCAACTTTAGAAACGCCAGTGGGTGGCTAGTGGTCTCTTTGACAGAGAAGGGATGAGCAGGCACACTTCTCAAGCTTCCTGTGGCGGCGGTGTTAGGGTTTATCTCCTTCGACAAGCACCAGGTACAGGCCATGCGCTGCTTCCCGTCTGGAGCAGTGCTTGGAGGGTTTGCTCCGGAGCTCACAGTGGGACAAGCCCTGCATGGATGCTGTCCACGGCTCCCATGATTCCCTTGGGTGGCATTTTCAGGATGGGGGTGGCCAGCAGGTCCCTATGGCACAACTTAGTGTGGATCCATGCAGCTGTGACCAGAGTTTGGGAGAAAGGTGAAATGAATCTACAACCATGATGGGTTAAACTCCTCAAAGTATGTATTTTCTTAGTGGAATGTGTTCATTTCATACATGATGGCCCTAAGCTCTCCATGGATTCAAGGAGGGTGGGTTGAGGGTGTCCTAATTTAATTTCCATTCTGCAGAGGCTCATAGGCCTTGGAAGGTACTGCCTCTTGCCCTGTTGCCCTCTCCCCACCATCTCACCTTTGTGTACCCCACTCTCCCTCCCTCTTGGCACCCCCAGGCCCCATTAACCCATATGGCTCTTTGTGCAAATTAGGAAATCGCCCTCTGCCCTCAAAACACTGCACGACCATCAGCGGCACATTGCCATGGCAGAACAGAAACATCCCTGGGATCATCATGTTATGAACTGTGCACTAAACCTACATCCTCCCCTCCCAGAGAAATGCTCAGGGAAGTTCTGGAGAGTTTTCCAAATGCTTCCTCAAAAGCCATGTGGTTTATTCACACCTTTGAGATCTAGCGGAGGGGGGGTGAGAGGCGGGTGTCGTCCGGGACGGACCTCCACTCTGCAGGCGGGCCGCATCTGCCTCTAGGAAATCAATATCTGCTTCCAATTTGGAACCTTTCCAGTAAAAAAGGAGAGGCCTCATAAGCTGTGCTGAGTCTTTGGGAGCACTGCTTCAGGGCTGAGTTTGTGGACAAACGCTTGGCTTTTTAAGCCGATTGCAATGAGAGCCTTAAACAGCAAAGAAATGTCCATTTTGGTAGTGCAGACTGGCGTTAGCATGATGTCAACACAGAGCATTTGTGGGGCAGTCTATAGTTTCTAAAACCTGGCAATATTCCTCATCCCATTTTACCCTCAATAATTCTATGAGCAGTTAGGTCACCTTCACACACACGGAGCCTGAGGCCATCAGGGGATACGAAAGCAGACCAAGGTAACGTGGCTGTACACAAGGTTCCGACTCACACCCAAGCTGTGTTTAAAACAGTTCATTTGTTGCATATACATGGTCCAATACATAGCCAAACGGTTTCTATAGGGTGCAGTGAACAGCCACCCAGAACACACTCACATGTCAAGGAATGTCCTTATCAACACGGGGGACAGGATGACGCTTCCAGAATGGATCCAGCCCCAGTGAGTGCGATTCATGGGTGTCATACAGGTCCACAGAGCTCTTTCCACACGTGTCCCGGCCCCACCCAAACCCACCAGGACCCACGTCCAAGGCTGTGAAGGGCAAGGCACTGGGCAAGAGCAGAGTCTCCAGAAGACATGTCCCCACCTCGGCTCGCACTTCCCGCTCCCCTGCCCCGAGGGGGCCTGGCAGCAGCCTTGGTTCTCAGAGAGCGGGCATTCGGCTAGCGCTACCTGAGCTCGCACACCGTGAGGGACCCACCTGCTCCAGGTGCCAATGGCTGACCAAGGCCTCTGCTCCTCTAGAAAAGAGTAAGAACTCTTGAAGAATGTGTCTACATCAGTATGGGGCCACACTGCCGAAAGGATGCAGCCCTCTAGAAGGGTGTTCTGCTTGTCCTGAGGCCTCAGGACATCACGGTGGGCAGCCACACACGTGGCATTCGGAGACAGACCTCGGGCTTCCCCACAATCTGGCCTCTGTCCTTACATCTCCGGGGTCAGTGCACCTATTTAAAACAAGAGATGCCACCCACCCTGAGCGGCTGTGTGCGGCCGGCAGTCTGCTGCGGTCCGGGCCCTAGCAATGTTAGCTGGTGCTTGGGAAACCAGCCGCCACGTGTCTGCCCCTCACACTGGGCCTGCAGCGACGCTTGCTCTAGCTGTACACTTCGAGCTTCTACCACAGATGCAGGAAGGGCAGAAGAGTACAATTATGATTTAGAGAAGATATTTAAAAGGTAAAACCCACAGAAAGAAGAAGAAAAGGTGAAGGGATTTGGCTCAGCAGAAAATCTCCTTGGGCGCCCTCAGAATCAGAGTCCTGGTGCCGCAGGGCTCGGGCCCAGAAACACTTTGCCCGGGGACATTTGTGCAAGGGCTGTGGCCCCCGCTCCTTTGTGGGGAACAGCCTCGTACCTCTTGGTGAAGGCACCCGGGATGCCCCTGGAAAGGGGCACCCCACCACTCAAAAGGCACAAGTGAAAACACAAAAATAAGGCCCTTGTCTCCAAAGTTCCATAAATCCTGGGTGGCTAGTGTTCAACAGAACCACAGAGGAGGAGGTGAGGTTACAGCTTGTGCTCCTCGAAGAGGATCTGGGCATACACCGTGCTGGTGGGGAGGCCTTTGGCCACCTGGTGGGGTTTGATCAGCTCCAACTCAGCGTAGGTCAAGTTTTCCTCGGCTATCTTTGGCTGTAAAAGAAAAAAACACAACACAATTCTAGCTGACCACAGAGAGTTCTACATCACACACTTATTTGTCAAGCATGTCATTTCACAGCATTTTAGGGATTCAAAGGGAACAAGTGGACAAAAATTTAAAAAGACATATAAAACCCAATAACATAGTTAATAAGGTGGGTCCCGTTGTCTTATATAGAACACTATGCCCTGCAAAGAGACACTACGATTTATTTTCAAGTTGACATGGAACACCCACCAAAAAAATGATTAAACGCCAGGCCACATAGAAAATTTTAATGCTGAAAAGTAAAACTAATGTAACTAACAGTCTCTGATCAAAAGGGAAATACAAAGATGGAGATAGAAACAAAAAAATCCTAGAAATTAATAAGAAAGCTAGAATGCTACCACCTAGAAATTTTTGTAAATGACTTAACCTGTATAAAACTAAACTTTCAGAGTATCTTTGAAACAAGGCTAAGAAGATATGCCTTTCCAGAGCCTAAAGAATATGGTCAAAGTGCTCAGAGAAAAAAAAACAACAGCCTTAAATACCTATGACACATGAATTACACGGATCAAGCCTCCAACTCAGAAAGTTGGAAAAAGAAGAAAAAAATAAATGAAAGAAAAGCAGAAGGAAGAGCCCAGTAAAAATAAAACCAGGCTGCATGAGTCAGAAAACAGAAAAACAGCAGAGTATCTAAAAGCCGGTGCTTGGAAAACACCAACCAGATAAATAAACTGAAAAATAAATTAATCAAGAGAAAAAGGGAAAAGGCATAAGTGAATAAAATGGAAAATGAAGAAAGGGATATAATGTAAATGAAGAATTTTTTTTTTAATTTTAAGAAGAATAACATTCTCAAATTATTGAAAACATTTTGAAATATAAGATAAATTGGGTAATGTTCTAGAAAATATAAATTATAAACAATATCTCCAGGAAATTTGAATGTACTAATTGCCATCATAAAAAACAGAAATAGAGAGAGAGAAGGAGAGGAAAGAAGGAAGGGAAGGAGGAAGGAGGGAGGGAGGGAAGGGAAGGAAGGTTAAAAAGTTCTCTCTCGAACGCATCAGGCCAGCAGTTTCATAGGAAAATTTCTAAAAGCAATTCCTTAAGGAAGAGATAATCTTAATGCAATTGAGCTGGTTCAGAGCATGAAAAAGGAAGAAAGACCTCACATATTTCAAATAACATCATTTATTTATGTAAATGTCAAGTCAAATTTATTCAGAGAATGAAGAAGTACATTAAAAGATTGATAATCATATTCAAGTTGATTTTATTCCAAGAATGCAAAGATGGCTCAATATTAAGAACAAAATTATAATAGTAATAGATCAAAAGAGAAAAACCACATAATTATCCTTATAGATTCTGGGAAGGCATTTAATAAAATTAAAAACACATTTTTTGAATAGTCACAGATATATATTTTCTTAATGTGATTAAGGAACTATTAAAATAAAGAATAACTGGTGATCCAACTCTAGTGATAGTAAACACATAAAGCTGAAATAATGTAAATCCTGTGGTACTGACAGATGAATAGATACGTATACCAGTGGGACGGGAGAGAAAGTCCAGAAATTAACAATTAATCTAACTATAATTTTTCAATAAATGCTATTTGGATACTTGGACAGCCATTTGAGAAAAAAATTAAATCACATCCTTATATCATTTATTACACTCAGGAAAATGCCACATGAATTAAAAATTTTAATGTGGAAAATAAACCCATGAAAGTACTAGAAAAACGTGTGGGGCATTTTTAAAATAATCTCAGATTTTTAAATAAATATTTATGTAATACTATAGTTTTAAAGTATAACACAAAATCCAGAAGCAATAGAAAAATGATGTGGACATTTTTATGCTACATACGGCAAAATATTCTCTAAATATAGTATTTTAACCAGAAGACAATTGAAAAAAATAGGGAAAATGTTTGCAGCTCATAGTAAAGAGCTTTACAATCTAACAAGATAATGACCAACAATCCATTAGAAAATTAAGCAAAGGACAACAGACAGGACCGGCTAGTTCACAGGAAGGAAACGCAAGTGGCTCTGCCACAGATGAAATGAGACTCAATCTCTCAGGATCAGAGAACTGTGACTTAAAACCACACATAAACATCAATTTTTGTCTTTCAAGTTGCCAAACATTAAAAAAAAAAAAAAAGGTTGACAAAAACCCAGGTCCCCTCATGTGCTGGTGGTAGGAGTGTTTCTTGGTACAAGCAAAAAACTGGAAGCACTGGAACAGACATCGGGAGGAGACTAGGGCATTCGCTCAATGGAATACATGGTACAGTCTTTAAGAAGGATGACAGAGCTGTATGTGTACTGTATGTTTCACTATCATTTGTGCAAATATTTGTACATGTGAGTATGTGAGTAAATGTATGTATGCTATTTCACATACTTAGAAAACTCTGGGAACCTCTGGAATCCATTTAGAAAATGGAGACTCCATTAACCATGGCCCCTCCAGGGAAATGACCTGGCTGGCTGGAGGGAGACCTGCCCTCTACTGTGTACATGTGCTCATATCTTGAATTTTGTAGTAGGCACGTGTACCTAAACAATACATTAATTAATTTTAATTTATAATTAGAAAAACAAAAGTTGGTCATTAATCTACAGGCAGTTTCGTTTAAGCAGTCCTGCTGTCTATGATCTGGGGTGTTAGACTTAGGGTTTTTTCTTTGTTGCTTTGGTTTTTTGTTGTTTTAATTTTTGCTTTTTTTAAAAAAAAAATTGTGCCTACATCTTGGTTATCTTGTGGAAATTCAGAACAAATAAACTGTTTACATTCAGTTTAAGTTAGAATGCCAAAAGTAAAATGCCTCTTTTCTTTTGAAATAAAGCACCGGAAAAGGGACAGGAAGCAAGAGACAGAGTGTATAAAGAACTCCTTGAAGCCAGCACCTCTGGGCCGGGTGACTGCCACCTGATCTGCACAAACCATCTAGTGTTTTTCAATTTCAAAGTTCAGGACATTTGTAGGAATCAGAATCTTCTGCTTGTCTTTTGACACCAAAAGTGTTTACATTGCTCCTTAGTCATCTATATCTTACCAGGCAATAAAAACTCTGTTTACATCCTTGCCTTTTGGTTTAATCACATTTCCTGTTATAATGATTCCATTTAGAAATGCCATGTGTCCTCAAATAAGCACGCAAAACCCAACTCATGTAAATTTTAGAACCAAGATTTATGAAATCATATTGTCCAGGTGTTTTATTACATTACTTTGAAATTGCATTGTTTTCTAGTGTAGATTATCTGTTTATTCTTAAGTTATTCCATTACGTTTGGATATGAAAAATAACACTAGCTTTCTCAATACAGGTCACCAGGCTGGCTTGGCTGATGTGTTGTTTTCATACATTTTTATGATGTTCCTATAGTAAACATAATTTAATAAAGCCAAAGCACACTAAATAAATAATTGCATCTAGAAAAGCAATAAAAACAAATAAAATTAGTACTTTCATAAGTGGAAAAGGTACTTCAATTACTGCTACAAGCAACAACCCACCATAAAATGTGTACAATCATTTCCCTTATGCACATTTCTGGAATATAATAATTTGATTGAAGATGTGAGGCAGCACACAGGAGGCTCGGAATTGTGAAGTATATACAGTTTCCAAGAGAAGATGCATAATATCCATCCTTGGCATCTTTAAAGAACCTATTGTTTTTCTGGCATGCACACTTGGCTGTCACCATCAACCATGTGCTTAATTACATTTCCCAGCATGTTTAACTGGAAATAAATTCCTAATGGCCAATGAAAGGGGGCAAATGTATACTCCTTACTGGTTTTCACCAAGACACCTTTCTTCGCACTGACATTTCAGTGGAAAGCTCAGGTGCATCTGAGAAGTAGCTTAGAGAAAATCCTTGGCATGTCAGTGAGACCAGAGGAGACTACAGAACTGGTAGTAAAACCAGGAGCCAGGAGCAGGATGCAGGGGCTGAGCCAGGTGGCTGCAATGGGGCAGAGCCAGGTGAGGGCCACACTTTTACTTCAGACAATACAATTTCACTCCATCCTGGACTAGACAAACCCAATCACTAATCAGGATTTAAGCTGAGGAATCACTCCTGTGTCTACGGCAGTTCAAGAACTGCAGGAGGGTGAGTGGTCTCTGGAGATGAGCCAGGAAGCACTTCTGCTTATTCTCTGACAGCAGCGGCCCTCAAAATGACCCTCTTCAAGCCCCCACTGACTCCTGGGAGTGCAGGAAGTATAGACGGATTCAGGCATTAAGGCCAAGAGTATAGACTTCAATAATGTTGACCGTCTGCTCGCAAACTCTCTTGCCACAACTTCAGATCCTCAGACCCGAGCCTTACATTCATATCCAGATTTTCGCTGGAAAGCAGGCACGCAGCAGAGGTGGGCCAAGTGCTGGAATGCCCTGGTAGGTCCCTTAGAAAAGGCCCTGGAACTTTCTAAGTATGTGAATAGCAAGCTGGCCATTTCCCCTCTCCCAGGACCGTTTGGTTTTACTTTCCTCTGCCTCCGCCGAGCCTGCAGAGGCTCCTGGTCAGATTTTCTGTCTAGGCCTCAAGTAAAGGCCTGCCTGGCAGTTGTGGTATTCAACCAGCTACCCGTATGCCCCAAAGCCCTTGTTTTATATACCTGTAATCTCACTTTTCACACATTTCCTCCCAGTTAGCAAAAATCCACTCCTACATTTGGAGGGGATTCTATGAACAAGAGGAGCTGGAGGATCAGGTACAGACAGACACTGATGCATCAGCGCAGGGCAGAATGAAAGGGACAGTGTTCATGGAGAAGCGACAAGGACGGTGCCCCGAGGCCACCGTCCCACAGCTGGTCACAGACCCTCAGTGTGGGAGGAATTCGGACTTCAGTTCACACGTCAGCTGTGTGACCTGGGGCCCGCCCCATCGCTGGTGCTCAGGGGTGATGACACCATTAATACTCCGTTGGAGGCACGCGAACATCATGGCCAGAG